TGTCTCTCTCCGCTGTGCTTCTCCTCCTCTCCCTCTCCTCTTTCTTCCTTTCTTTTCTTTATGGCGGCAATTGTTCCTTTTCATCACATCATTGCTTGAAAGGGAACTTTAACACGCCGTTGGCTCAGCAAGAGCTCCACATGATTTGATAGGATGAAAGCCCCCCCCACCCCACCCCACCCCACCAACCACCACCACCACCACCACCTCCACCACCTCCCATCGGTCCCTTTGGGCTGTAAAACAACAGTCTGGAAGCTTATTTTATGAGTGCACGCCTCTGCTCTTTGCATGTTTATGTCAAACATTTGGAACAAATGGCATCCATTGGCTGGAACAACACAGATAAATCTCGTCAATTCGCAGGCAGGGAGAGCAGCGCAGGCCACTGAGAAAGTGGCCCACTTGATGGCTGACAAGAGGAGTGCTTGCATTATTCAATTAATACCTGAAAGGGGGTACATTTTATGCAGAATTTGCTAAAGCATCCACTCGGCAATGCACGCATGGCACACATAAATACACACACACACACACAACTCCCCCACAAACACGGGGGCTTGTGTTTGCATCCTGGGAAAAGACTGGACTCCCCTTCCATTTTGCCAAATCAAATATACAGTGAGAGCAAGCTAAAAGGCACTTTCAATCAGCCGCTCTGGGTCTGTCTGTCAATCTGGGAACAACAACAATCTAGCCTACTTGGAGTGGTCTAGTCAACATCCATTCCCCAATAAATTCAATCAGTGATGCTTTGTGTGCGTGTGTGAGTTGTGTGTCGAGTGTGTATTAGTGCAGGTGTTTATGAGCGAGGTAGGAGAGAGACACAGACTCTTTCTGACAGAGTTGTTTAAGAGCACCAAAAGGATCATTTTAAAGTGACACCTGCATGTATGGAGGATGCTGAATATTTAAGGTGAAAAATTAAGACACAACCAGGCTGAGATATACACAAGTGAATATCTTATACTTACAGCGAGTTCCTATTCCTCATTCAAAAGTGACAATAGGAATCTCTAAGCTCACCAAATAATCTCAGAAAGCCAAGTAGCAGAGTTAACAGGCCTCGGCTAATGACATTGACGTGGAGGGCTGCACGCTGGAGTGATTGTCTGACTGTTTGAGACCCAAAAGCAGTGCGAGCAGGCTCATCATGGACCCGCACTCTCATTATTTGGCCACAAATGGAAATGCAAATCGCTCGCTTTGCTACGGACGCCTCAAATTTATTAAACTAAAAGGTTTAATTTCCATTTTTCTCTGCATCAGCTTTATTTATAAATGTCGTGCCCTATGAAGACCCTGTTATTTTCTCCCTCTCCTGCAGGCTCTTAACAAATCTGCTCATTAATATGGAAATGGAGAATCAATCGCTTTTCCGGCGACAGTGGGCCGTTTCCCTCTGAGGTGTGTAATGCGCTCTGACTGGTCAACAGCAAAAACAAACTCGCAAGCGCACACACCCCGTATATAAAAACTACATTACCACAAACTCATCTATATAAAGTTCGTCCATCCGGAAAGAGCTTATAAGAATAATATTTCCTACAGTATATTTTACTATATGGTCATGGCATCTGTTCATACTGGATGTTCCAGCCCACTCAGACTATAACACTATCACCAGAATGGCACCAGATGTTGCAGCATTAATAACCCATAATATCAAGTCCTGCTTATCCAACCTTTTCAGAGCCCTAAAATAACACTCATAGACCTTAATGAGATCTAATTATGCACAAGGTTCTTATTCAGGGGCAATGTGAGGATAATTGCATCGGCGGCTTTTAACACTTGGTTGTCAGGTTGCAGGTAAATTGCCACTCTCTTCCCCTCCATCTGTCTGTCTGTCTGTTTGTCTCTCTTCTTACCCGTCTCTCTATGGTCAACACCAATCCACTCTGGTCGGCGACCTAATGAACATTTCTAAATAGCGATGACCAGCTGGTTAAGAGACTAATGTAGCAGCTATTAGCCAAAGCGGTTGTTTCCACACAGAGTTATCTAAGAGAGACACAGTAGAGAGGGAAAGAGAGAGAGAGGAGACAAGGACAGAGGCTCTAATACCATCCCTCCATAAACAAACACACACACACCTATACAGTTCATACTCACATCACTCTGCGTGTTTATCTTTCGAATTCTGCAGCAAACAAACCATGTGACGTATTCTCAACCCATAGTGCATTAGTGCTTATTAGGGCCTCAAGGTGTGCGAGTGTGTGTGTGTGTGTTATTAGGAAAATTCAGTTTCACTCAAGGTCTCAGCACTGTGGATGCAGACCACTGGTCATTGATTATTCATAGAGTCTGTGATTGGGTCCATTAATACAAGATTAGGGAAGGAACCGATGCTCATTTTGTGTGTGTGTGTTTGTGCATGGGTGTGTTTGTGGACAGGAGTTGAATCGCAATGAATCTACAGATTGTGATTGTGTGCAGCCTATCAAAACAAAACATAAAGGTGTATACGGTTAGGGACAGGGGGCACATTAGAAAGCTATGACGGTTTTTGGCATCACATTAAGAAATTAGTAAAAATTAAAGATAGTATTTTCAGCTTTTACAAAGCAGTAGGTAGCATGGCGCCTTGGTCGAAAAATTAGTCATAAAATTCAAGCATTAAAAAGGGAATATTTTAACCTCCATCATTCACTGCATACTCTAGGATTTCCACCTAATAGCATTTGTTCTTCAATTGAAACTTAATCCGAGTAAATGGTGCTTAAATGTTTAAATCACATTTACAGGCTGTCAACTGATGTGATGTTCTTCACATGGTCACCCTTTGTTTGAATGAAAATAAATTGACGGCAAATGAGAAAGGATTCTGCAAAACCAGTTGAGGAGAAATATTGAATCATAGCTCCCCCAAGTGGCTATTTATGGTAATTAAAAGAAAAAGCTGAGGTGGAAAAAAGGACACACCACAGTACAGGCACTCTCATGAGGTCTGATACCTCTTCTATAGACAAGTGATATAATATGATTTCCAGGAAATTGTCTGGAATTGCAGCTGAGGAAGAGGTCACTGCTACATATTATGAAATGGGCAGTCTGGGTGCACCTCTCTCTCTCCCTCTTCCTCACAGGCATAAGTAACCAAATGAGCAACCACAGTCCCACATACAATCAGCATTATCGTTATCATAATCATCAAGTGCAGCACAGTGTTATTTGACATGTAAGAGCTCTAATCTGTTGTGTCCACTCTTGGTATTTGTAAAGAAACACCATGGTATAAAAAAAAATGAACACAGGAAAATGTCCACAGATTTGACTTTGTATCAAATAAACCTTGAATATTTTCAAGAAAAAAAAAAGGAAGAAAATGGTAAATAAGCAGTTGATTTTTGAGCAAATCAAAGCTGAGATTTTTCATAAAGAATATGAAAGATCCTATAATATAAAAGTTATCAGGTGGCACAAGAGCCCTGTTGATGCATTGTGTTTTTAATTTTTTATATTACTAGTGATAAATCACTGATGTAACTTGAACTGGGGCGTATTTCAGCTATTAAGTACAATTTTGATATTTTAGTTAAAGGGGCCATGTGTAGTATTTTGGGCATTTAATGGAACAAACTGTGAATAAATGAAATATAATGTTTATATGTATGTTTAAATTACTGTGCAGTCACTTAAATATATATATTTTTTACTTAAATGAGCCTTTAATATACCCACAAGAGCAGGATCCCTTCCACCACTGCTGCCATCTTACACAACTATGTTTCAACAGTGGCACACAATAGACCAGTGGTTTTCAAGTCCAGTCCTCAAGGCCCACTGTCCTGCATGTTTTGGATGTTTCCATGCTCCATCTCACCTGATTCAAATGATCAGCTCGTTATTAAGCCATTACAGAGCTTGATAACGAGCTGATCATTTGAATCAGGTGTGTTAGAGCAGGGAAACATCCAAAACATGCAGGACAGTGGGCCTCCAGGACTGGACTTGAGAACCACTGCAATAGACAAACTAGTAACACACATTTTCATATTCAGTGAGTCACGACAGGAAATGCACTAGTTGGAAGAAGAAGAGAGAAGAGTGACTGTTCAGCTCAAAATAACCTGTATCAATAGGCATTTTTGTTTTGTTTTTCATGACATGTACTGCTGACCTCTTGGCCAGGTCACTCTTGCGAAAGAGATTTTGATCTTAATCTGTTTTTTCAGGTTAAATAAAATAATTTTTTGATAGTGAAACTTAAATTATCATACTTACACAAGAGGCCACCATTTCTTTAGCACTGAAAGGGGTGAACAGGGGAGCATTTTTACCCGGATTCTGACCACTGGATATTACTTAATATTCCTATTTCCTAACACTGTACCTTTAAAAGGAATTCATATCTATTATTTACGTGACATAAATCATATCACATCTCTAAGCATTTGTAGCATTTTCAGCTGGTAAAGAAAGGAGTAAAAGTACCTTGAAAAAGCCAGGCCAAAAAAATATTTTTGCTATTTTACTATTATTTATACTCAATTACTATCAAGGCTGCGATTTATGAAAACTTGTCAACTGTCAAGAGTTCAATAGGATAGCCCACTCAAAAACAACTTATTTAACGTCAGCCTACATGATTTTTTTATTTATTTTTATTTTATTTGCATTCCTGCATACATCAAAATGCCATGAATTGTACTTGGCCATTTTAAGAAAAGGATGGTAAAAAAACAGTGCAAATAGGGTAGGATACCAACTTAAACCTTAATATCATGATATTTAGGTTAGTTTTTGACCTCTTTTTCCTCTACCTTAGTCTCTCAACATGTAAACTTGGACTGTATCACCAGAAAACAAGAGTAACCAAGTACCAGAACGTCACATCTGTGGTTAAAATGTCAAATAAAGAGGTTTAATAAATATAAAACTTAGACCAGTGTTTTGGAGTGTGATGTACCTGCACGGACGTCATGCTCTCCGCGGTGCTGAAACAGCTGACGCACCTTGACGCAGGGACGTCGCCGCTCATCACGCATCCTCTCCTCCTTCCATCTTTGTGCTACAGGCTAACGTGCTAAGCGAGAGGCTCTCCATCAGAAGGAGGCGGAGAAGTCTGCAAGCAGCGGAGAGAGGCAGTCAAATCACAGGACTGAACCCTCCCAGGGGAATCGGGAAGCTCTTCCACACAGGAAACCGCTATTAGAAAGCCTGTATAATGTCCGACTTTGACAGCAACCCGTTTGCAGACCCGGACTTCAGCAATCCCTTTCAGGTAGCTAACTGAGCTAGCTAGCAGCTTCACTACTGCACGCTTTAAAGCCCAATCAGGCCAATGTTACTGTAGCATCCCTGCTAACTGTGCTAACTAGCATCTGGAGGTCTTACATGGTAGCGGAATGAGCGCTTCTTCACTGCCAATATTTATCTCCATCTTTGCGCATTTTGGCTGTTTACCTTGTGAATGGAGTAAGGGAGGACTCTGTGTCTCTAAAATGTTGATAAAGTGTAATTTCCGCGTTGCATTGAAGAGTATTGTAAACTCAGAACAAAGACACATGATGTTAGCTGGCTAGCTCTGCTGACAGTAAACATTGACACCTGCTAGCTTGGTAAACAGCTAACCGGCTGGTTAGCATCGGTCAATTTAGGTACACTGTGTGCCTGTAATAAAGGATAAAGGGATTTAAACCTCATATTGGATGATTGTACCGTCTCAGAGGTGCTCAAACATAAACCCTATTTAAACATTAGTGCTTACTGAACACGTCGTCGTCGGAAATGTTTGTTTAAATTGTCGTCTGACTCCGACATCGAAGGAAAATCATTTAGTAAACATCCACATTGATATTGTCTGATCATTAAGACAAAGTTATATTAATCTCTTTTTGAACAAAGGTGGTGTGTGGTAGGTTTTATTCACCCATGTTAGCTCCTACCTTGTAGATGCCTGACACCAGGAGCTGCTGACTCTATTGGTTAACATCCAAACTGAACACCTGTACAGGTGCAGATTTAAACATTGAGCCCCTCCCCAAGAGGGTGTGTCGTTCGGTGGGTGGGGTCGTGGTTTGAGGGAAAACCTGGATCTTGGCATCTGGTGGGTTCCGTAGACCTCTACCAGGTTGGGCTGTGATACCAAACATGAAGTTAGAGGCCTAGTCAAGGTTTTTTCAGCCCCAGATCCCATTCATAGTTTTGTAGTGATGGGCACAGCAGTTCTTTTAGATGTACTGAATCACTAGAATTAGTTCAAAAGATTCGTTCACCGACTCATTGAGCGCTTGGCAGGAAGAGCCTGCGACTCTGACCTCCTGAACTGATACACAGCTGAACGGTTCAGGCTTCAGTTCAGATCATAGCTTCTGGGACTGGGAGACAGGAGTGTTTGGCTGTGTTGCTTTGGCAAACAGGTTTGTTAAAATGAACTTGTTTATAATTCATGATAGTGTACTGTCCTATGGTATGCTATTTATCAAGTCTGCTCGGTAAATTGGGCTCAGTGAGTAATCTGTTCACTGAGCGTTTCGAAGAATTCACACTGAACATGCACCGTTTCCTTGCAAACCGCTGCAATGATAGGATGCTGTGGGTTTAATGCACCACTTGTTACATGCTGTGTTAGATGGTATGCAAGTTGTTGTGGTGGCAATTGAGCAGTGAAAAAAAAAAGAAGTTAGGTTTGGCCGACAAAAATGATTCCGGAGAGTGTAGTTCACTGCGTGATTCGTTTACCAAGTGATTCAGGTATCGGTGCATACGGTCCCTCGTTCGCCAGCTGCTCGCCTGGGAATGCTGCGTACTATAGCAGCTACACTGCTGACAGCTCAACTAAAGTGAGAAACAAACAAATTGCTTGAGGAGGTGATTTGGTTCAGCGCGTTCACTTAAAAGATTCGATTCCTTTGACCGAATCGTTTGCGAACGACACATTACTATAGTTTTGAATGAAAGTAATTAGGTGAACTTATGTAGAAGAGGAGTCAAATCCCAACTAAACAAAGCTACTCTTGTAAAGTTGGATATACATTTGCAGGTTTGGCTTTCTCAGGTCAATAACTCAAGGGGGAAAGATTGGCTTTACAAAACCTGCACCTCTTTCAGTCTTATTAGGAAAGCTGTGAGCTACAACATGGTTATCACGGGTAAAAGCTGTCATGCAAGCTATCACACACCGTAACCTAATGTAGGAGGCCATCTACAAAGTGTTATACTGGAAAATGTGCAATAAAATATACAATAGCTTCACCCTGGATTGATATAGTCAATGAAGCCTAGCTCAGGGTTCATGTCGTCAGTCCCACTCTCTCCCCACCTCCCAGTTTAAAGCTAATACTCAGTACTCTGTACAGTAAGTTTTAGACAAAGTACTTTTGCTTCTCCTTAAGTAGAACATGCTAGAATCCCACCTACGATACCCTACAATAACAGTTTGAAACATTAGCATTAATAGTAGCATTAGACTACCCACATACAGTATGGACAAAGATGAGTAGTAGATGTGTGGTGAATTGATGTGTTACACACAAATCACAAGTTTTTGATTTTGTGGTTGTAGTTTTTACATCCTGAAACCTGTTGTGGTCATCTCTGTCCCATAGGATCCCTCAGTGACGCAGGTGACCCAGTCTGCCCCTCCTGGTGGTCTGGAGGAGTATAACCCTTTCACAGACGCCAGAACGGTCAGCTTTTCTAGCAATGCTTTTGACATGTGTTTGTCTGCTTCTGAGTTTCTGACCTGATTTCATTCAGTTTCCTCTCTCTCTCTCTCTTCCTCCACCTCTCAGTCACAGAGGATTTCACAGATAAAATATGACTGTGACCCAGTTTAAGTTTTGATTCAGGGTCTGTCTCTCGGATTGCAGAATTATTAACATAGCAGGTCTGTGCTGGTTTGTAGGCAGCGCCCGGAAATGCCCCCAAATCTGCCCCTCCCCCTGCCCAGAACACACAACCTGCCATCATGAAGCCCACAGAAGAGCCACCAGCTTACTCACAGCAACAGACTCAGGTACATAAATTTTTGACTTGTCTGAAGTTCATAAAACATCCTCTCAATGTCAGTGTTCACTTTAAATACTTTCTTTTCTGAGCTTTTCTTTCACTTTTCCTCTCGTCCCTCATAAACTCATCTGTTTTTGTTTTCTACTGGCCCGCAGCAGCGTAATGAGGTACTGTCTATCACCTGATGTTCCATTCATCTCACTGTCTTGATGTGTGTGAATTCATTTAACACCCTTTCCCAACCTATAGCTCTCCTCTTGCATTAGTGAGAGAACATTAACTTGTTGATTTTCCAATCCTAACCCCAGTTTTCTTTTCTCAAACTAACGCTCTTAAGTTCATCTGAGTGGAATAACAGTCCCATTTCCTACTTGATTGGATAGTATAACTCCTGTCAAATGCTAAATGCCGGTTTGTCTGTGTTAGGACCAAGCGCGTGCTCAGGCTGAGTTGTTGAGAAGGCAGGAGGAGCTGGAGAAAAAAGCAGCAGAGCTTGATCGCCGGGAGAGAGAGTTACAGTCTCATGGAGCTGCAGGAGGTTGGTCTGTCTGTTCACCTGCTCGCCTGATTAACCCCCAAACTCTGAATGTTACAGACACCATGGATCTTTGATATGATTTACTATGAACCATTAATAAAACACTCAATTTATTAAAATTGAATGTGCATAATGTTTGCTATCAGAGTTTATCAATACTCCGACCATTTTCCATAGCTATGCTGGTAATTTCCCAGTAAAGTCAAAAGAATGACTCAATCATATGCCAGTTCGGTCACACCCATACCTTCCTTATTGTAAAAACTCACATGATGCCCAGCTGCTCATCCAAACTCTTGTGTCCTACATACACACAGGTCGTAAGAATAACTGGCCTCCATTGCCAGAGAAGTTCCCCGTAGGGCCCTGTTTCTATCACGATATTGCAGTGGACATTCCTATCGAGTTTCAAAAGACTGTCAAGATCATGTACAACCTTTGGATGTGTAAGTGAGCCGCCCAAAATGATCATTTCTTTTAAATGAATTTGCCTCAACACTTTTTTTTCTAGTTGGTGGGTTAAGAATGGAAAGGCACCCTGATTTCTTGTCAAAAAGATATATGTGTTTAATTTGTTGTCATCTTATTGTTTCCACCAGTTCACGCAGGCACACTCTTCGTGAACATGTTCGGCTGCCTGGCCTGGTTCTGTGTGGATACAACTCGTGGCGTAGATTTTGGTCTGGCCATGCTCTGGTTCCTGCTGTTTACTCCGTGTTCTTTTGTCTGCTGGTACAGACCGCTTTACGGGGCTTTCAGGTATGAACACTCAGGGAGAATAAAAACTAACCTCATCAGCAGTAGAAAAAAAGCAAACAGAAAAACAGTCTCTGACCTGATTACTCTCATGTAAGAGGGTGGAAATAAGCACTCAGAAAAACAACATTTAGGACTAGAATAAAACAAGTTTTTCTTGCTAATTTCCTTCCCCACATTGCTCCCTCAGTAACCGCTTCCTCTGTTTCTAATATAGGAGTGACAGTTCATTCCGCTTCTTTGTCTTCTTCTTCGTCTATATCTGCCAATTCGGAGTTCATGTTCTACAAAGTATTGGCATCACCGGCTGGGGGACATGGTGAGCATTTGATGCTTTTGATGGTGAAGAACCCCAGTGAGTGTGCACTTCGGTTCAATCCTAATGTCTTTGTGGTCTCTTTGCAGTGGTTGGATTGCAGCCTTGACTGGTCTGAACACTAGCATCCCAGTGGGCATCATCATGTTACTGATCGCAGCTCTGTTCACTGCACTGTCTGTGGGCTCGCTCATCATGTTTAAGAAGGTGAGGCATTCACAAACTTGAAACATTTCATTTCATTAATTTAGATCTCTATTAGCTTTGGCTAAGGCCAACAATACAAACAACATACACATATTACTGGACCTCATTCATTTCCACAGTGTAGCTATAAAATAATCAGATGATCAAATATCAACATTCATTCCACAAAATTGCATTAATTTACAGAAACAGTACCCAATACATAAGCAGACTTCAGATATTTCAAGTGAATCAGACAAACACTGATTGATTGTACCAAGTAGCTTCATCTAAATAAGGAGCTGTTTGACTGATAGATGTTCTTTCAGTAGATCTTTAAATCTGTATTTGTTGTGTTCTTGGATAATATGTCCTGACAGAGCATTCCATGTCACCATGGCCCTATACATTACAAACAGTGCTGTCATGTTGATGAGTTTAATAGAGCAGGCATCAGAATGGAATCTGAGCATTAGAGACAGACCATGAAAATACGGCCAGAGCAGGTGAAAGATCAAATTATCATTTATCAATATTAAAAATTACATATTTGTCTCATCTGCTTTCTGATGATTATCCAATGATGATGCTGTGTCCTAATTGTTTATTGCTGAAGCATTGTGATTTGCCAGAAATAAAAAATTAGACTACATCCACGTGACATATTTTGTTTTTATTTTTGCTGTCCACACAAGAATGTAGCAAACACAGTTTTTAAGAACCTCTAACTAAATCAATTTTCAATGATCTATAACAACTGTTCATGTGTAGATGGGCCTAAATTACTGACCTTTTGGTTGATTTGCATCAACGTCTCCAACATGTTTCCTTTTCTGCTCCCTCCAGGTGCACGCACTGTATCGTACCACTGGTGCCAGTTTTGAGAAGGCACAGCAGGAGTTTGCCACTGGGGTCATGTCTAATAAGACCGTTCAGACTGCAGCCGCCAACGCTGCTGCTAATGCTGCATCCAACGCTGCTCGAGGAGCCTTCAAACCTCAGCCATAAACTCACACACACATGCAAACTTGCTCTTTCAGTCATACAAGCTTATACACACACACCAACACACACACAAAGTTGGAGGTGCACAACTCTGGCCCTGCAGGCAATCAGATCAAATCGATTCTATGAATGAGTGTTGTTTTATTGAGATTTCTCTGCACATTTACCCTTAAGGTGCAAAGAGTTAGAGGCATTAAGAACAAAGAAGTTAATCAAAGTGACCAGAGTTGTCCTCCTTCACTTTAAAAACAGGTTCCAGTAAGAAAAAAACTCTCCTACATCCTTCCTTTCTGCTTTTCAGCCAGATGACTGTCTGCTCACAACCCTTGAAACATCCACTAAAGTGACTTAGTCTATGTCTGACCGGGTGGCCTGCTCTGAGTGAGCGGGATTACATCTCAAACTTTATCGCTCAGCTCCTTGCTTTCCCTGCTCTTCTGTCATCCCAAGGTGATACTAGGTTAGGCAGAGGTCTCATTTCAAGCGTACCTTATTTTTGTCATCCTGATGACCTACAAACAACCTCCTGCCTGGTTATGATACAGTCCTGAAAATGGTCATCTGTTCAAAGTGTTTTGCACATACTAGTTCTGTCTTCTTGGTCAAATACTGGAAGTGCTGCGTATGTTTGAACGGCTGGGCCTGCGTGTGAATGTGGACTTCACCTTGAGGAAATGTGGCTCTGACTTTTTTTATACCCCAGTGCTTGGTCACTGATAACCGGAAGTTAAATCATAATCGTCATCATCATGGTAAATCATGCTAATAGGGATATGCTCTTATGGAAGAACCCGCCCACAGCCCCAGTAGAGCTCCAGCGACACCCGTTAGTTGATCAATTATTCACACTTTCTGCTGCTTAGGTTGGCAGTGTGGGCTGGGTCAGCATCTTTGTGGTTTACTGAGATTTGACAGCATGAAAAGAACATGCATGTTAAGCGAACTCGAGGTAGTTTTTTGTTCGGCAAAGTGATTCTGTAAACGGCCTTTTCTCTGCCGACTAACGGCGGCTGGTTTAGAGGAATGTCTGCCTACTTATTTCCCCTCGGTTTCTGTGAGAAGTGAGCTGTAAAGTTGCTGCATGTCCCAGTGGCTGTTTGACTGTTTGTTGATGTTTTGGATTTATTTGAGTAATGCACTGAATCCAGCCGGGCCAGTAGGTCTCAGGTCGTCACCATGAAACCCTAAAGCAGAGGTGTTTTCACAGCCTGGGGCATTAAAAAGGAAGACTGCATTAAACAAATATTCTCAATTTCCCTCAACTCTAACACACTACGATGTGGCGCCGTCTCTCTCTAGCCCCTTGAAAACTAACGCTGCTATAAATCTAAGAGTGGCGAAGTCATGGCCTCCTGTTGCCATGTTGCCTGTTAAAGTAGACACATACGGTTTCATACTAAAAGGGGAGATGAGACTTGCCTTTTTTTTTTTTTCTAAGGGAAAAGCTCTGATTTTTTTCTGATATCAAACTGCATACATAAGTGAGTAAAAAAACTAAACCTGTGTGTATGTACAATATAATGACTAACAGTCCATTTGCATTTCTACCGACAGAAAAGCCGGTCTCCTCTCTGACAGTGTTGGATCACTGACTGTAAGAAACAGTAACCATAACAAGAGGATTGACTTGATTCACATTCAGTGATATCATTAAGATGCATTAATTTATTTACCATGATAACAGTGTTATAAGCACTAAATTGTACAGACTACTGTCACAGAAGTGAAATATGGATGTGGGTTACATTTGTGTCGTGCTTTAGCACCTCATAGTGGTGGTGCGCATCTGAAAATGTGCATGATAGATGACTGACGACTGAACTGCTTTTATTACAAGTATATGAACTGGACATTACAGCAGACTAAATACTCCTGAGAGTGTTCAAAATGTAAAGGTCAATGATTCATCGTGAAAGGATCAGCTGACATCTCGACAGTATTGTTTCCGTTTGGAGATACTTTGTTTGAAATCCATTGCACATTTCTTGTTTTATGTTGACCTTAGTGCAAAAGACGAACATGTTTTTATTTATGATATAATTTAAGTTGTTTGCATCTCAGTTTTCGTTTGGTTTGATTTCATGTTCTGTATTATGTTTGTGTGGTTTTGTAAAGACATGATCATAGCATCAGCTAGATTGAAAAGTGTTAAATGACTTTAACGACTTCATCCTGTGAGAGGAGTGTCTGTGTGGACAAGGATGTATGTGTGTGATCGGTATGAAAGGAAAAGAAAAAAAATCTCCCTCAAGTGTTATTCTATGTCCTGAAAAGCTGTGAGAAATCTACCAAATTTCCATATAGATTTGTTTTTAAAATCTTGGGTTTGTGATGTGTTCCCTTGCCATGTTTGACTTAAAGATAGAGCACATTTTCTCTTTGCTGCAAACATCCATGTTTCCCATGTATTTATAGTTTGAATGGTTGCTAAATGGAGTGATGCCTCGATGGGTAACTCCTACATGTATTTGGCGAGCTGGTCTGCAGTACAGAACTGTGTATCTGAAGTTTGCTGACACACAACTGTGTTTTTGACCTGTGACCATGATATTTCACTGAATCAGAGAAGAAATCCATCAAAAAGGGACACTTGTATATTTTGTAAAGTTGAAAATTTGATCCCCATTATCAATCACATGTAAAAAGATAATGTAATGCACTCTTGTCTGGCCTTTGTTGCATGTGAAATAGTTTGAGTTTTGTATATTTATGGTATTAACATGAAATAAAATTTGAAAGAAATATTTGTGGACTCTGAGAAAACTATTCAACAGTCACATTACTTTTATCTTAATCATGTAAAGTATCAGATATATCAAAGTTTTCACGTAGTTTTGGTTTTTGATACTTTGACAGTAACATGGTCACATTAAAACCTTACATTTTACACAGAGTTGGGATTTTAATCAAAACATGTCTGAAAGAATTCATGGTTCCTTATTACCTGCAACAAATATTTGCTGGTACACATACTGGAGAGGACTGGTTTGAGGCTGATTCCTGTATGGTCTACTTTTCAACACAAGGTGTCAGTGTTTTCTCAGGGAGTTTGAGTTTCACAGGAAATAAGCATGAATATGGAGCTTCTGCACATAACAATAACCACAGATTTACAGTAGAAAATCTAGTTTATTGCATACAAATAACAGGCTGTACATCCCCTCACGCACATCAACCTCTCACACATGCAGCATCAGACAATGTGCCACCAACGCTGTTACTGTTTTTGTTAATGTAACAAAAACAAGGGACAGTAAACATTAAGTTAAAGCACAGAAAAACTAAAAAAATGCTTTGTACAAAACAAACAAAAAAAGATCACTTTGTTCACTCCTCATCCTCTCAGTCCACTCACCCTCACAGCAAACACACTACAGTTGAATTATTGCACATTTTATCTACAAGGACAACAAGCAATCACATGTTACATTGAAGGCAATGTAAAGAAGCATGGTTGAAAAAAAAAAAAAACTAAAATAAATGGACTAAATTTGTAGTAATGTGAAATGAAGAACCATGTGTAAAGAGCAGTATGAAGTGATTTTCCAAAAGTACCAAAGCTTTTCTATTGATCTAAACATATTTAAAAAAAGGCTTTCAACAAGCTCTGAGTGTTGTAAACCTTTACAAATCCAGGTGTGTGTGTTTCTTGCAGTAAATCATGATAAGCTACAACGCAGTTTGCTTTATCTTGCAAACATGAAAGCTCTCCAGAGTAAAACATCTGGCCAGTCTCTGTTCTTTTTCTGCACACACTCTGCTGCTTAATGAGCTGCAGTAGACTCCTTAACTATCCATTTACCAGAAGGAACCCCATTTAAAACTAACAACACCATAAACAGCACATTTCAACAGGTAGATAGAGGGTCTGACTGTCCTGCTGTTCAGCAGATTCCGAGCATACGGACATTTAGAAACAACAACTGTGAGCGGATTTCACACTAACATGCAAGCTGTCGTGGGCACACATCTGTTAGTATTCAGAGGTTTGTTGAGGTTTGCAGGTGAACCATGTGAATTACCATTATAGTGGTGTTACAAACCTTGAACACTGTTTTACTGGCAGTGTTTTACTTGTCCACAGTAACACTGATGAAAATGCATCACCTATTTTTTTACATTTCTCCAGTGGTGTCTTTACGGTAGGAATTATTACAAAAAATTAAGTATCTTGGTTGAAAATGCTGGATTAGTCTGCAGGTAACTTTCCAAAGCCAGCTGCTGTACCAATTTTTTTAGGCTTTAGCCACTTTTAAAAGAGAGCAACATCCTGAATACCAAATATCAAGCTGTTACCACAACATTTGTTTTTAATAGTTAGCCGATGTTGTCCAGGCAGAACCCCAAAGTGGATGGATTCACTCAGAGAAAGTTTTCCCTTTATTGAGATTCACAGCTGTCTATTAGGAGAAACACACAAAGAAACCCAAACATCCCTGAGCACTCAGAGCAGACAGATCAAACTCTTCCCCTCCTCGATCTCCTCCTGCACCTTATCGCTGGAAGTGGCGATCTCAGCCTGTGCAGACAGAACAGCACACAGGAAAGTTGCCAGCGTTCCTCCTATTGCTGCGTAGAACGCCCAGCCAAGTGAGCACAGGTGTGGCCTGAAGGGTGAGGCGTCAGGGCCGCAGTAGTTCTTCACCTTCTCTGAACCCCAACCAGCAGGGTACAGCATGAGACCCACCATCAGCAACAGGCCTGAAGGGAGAGAAGACACCATGAGATGAAGGCTTGAGTCACAAACATCACTGCTAAAAGGGCAGACTTTTAACTTTGTGACTCAACTCTGGTGAAGAATACAGCCATTTTTCAGCTGACAAGCCTTTTATTTATGCTGAAAGGAAAGACCCCTCTTCAATGATTAGCTAGTTGACAGATCTGTCCAACCAAACACATATGAAGGAGCCTTTTGTTGAAAGAAACCTGCACAAAGCCTGGGTTGAACCGAAGACTGGAAAAGCCAAAAGTTGCTTTCGGACTTGTAAAGTCAAATGTTTCAACTTGTAAAGTCAACACGGAAGTTTCCTGAAGGCTGTGGAGATGCTTTTAAAATCCACAGACATGTGCTGGTATAGACATGTTCCCACTTTATCTCCAACAGATCACAGATTAGTTGTATTAGCTGCAATAGCAAGTGAGATATGAACCGTTATTATTGATGAGCTGCACTGTACTCTGCGGTATTATAGGGATGCGATTTAATATTAACGTAACATTATTCTTAGCAGAGAAAAGCTCATAAAATTCATTGTAGGTGTATGACTGTATGTTAGTGTTGTTTTACGTCTCCTTCTAACAAAACAGGCAGTCACAGCAAGAGTACATGAGTACATTTCTAGTAGGGCTGGGCGATAAACCGAAAATTTACAGATACCAAAATTTATGACAATAACCGACCCCATTTTTCCCACGTCAATATATTCGGTGTCAAAAAAATAAATAATTGTTTTTGGCTGTGTGTAGGTAGGCTATGGTCTCATGTCCGTTTAAGACACTGTCCTACATCAGAGACGTGACTCCATCCCATCTAGTCCGTAACAAAGAGGGAAAGAGGTGAGGAGATGGAGGATAGTTGAAAAGTTTTAACTACTGGAGCGGCGGCTGAAGTAGACAAAGTTAACGTGGGAGGGGGTGAGCAGCTTGTGGAGTAGTTATCGTCCATTTATCGTTATCGAGGTGAACTGCTCCATATATCGTGATATTGATTAGAGGCCATATTGCCCAGCCCTAATTTCTAGGACAGGGAACATTTGATGTTCTCTACAATGACAGGAAAAGTGTGTCTGAATAATTAGGTTTAAAATATTAGCATATTAGATCACAGAAAAAATCATGCCCAAGGTTTAGTTGAGAGGCAGCTCAGGAGAGTTTTTTTCTATCATGGAGCTGAACTCATTTGCTCTTCCATGTTCTGCCAAATCATACATCACCTAATTTATTGATTAAAGGAAAAATGCTTTAGAAAATAACCAACATAAAAGCGTGCACCATTAAACTAACAAACACAGAGACAGATGTCTGACCTGCGATGGCCTGCAGCAGTCCACAGATGTTGAATAAACTCTTCTTCAGGATGCTCTGGAAGCACAGGCTAAAGACGGAGATACAAGCCACCACTCCCAGAACTAACGTCCCCGCAGCCAGAAACAACATGGCCGCCTGCCAGAAGCCACTGGCCACCTCTCCGAAAGTCCCCGCGTAGGGTCCGCAGCTCACCCCGACTCCTCGACTCCCAATGCGGAGGCAGCGGCTGTAGAGACCAAGTGACGGTCGGTACTCCCCAGAATCTACACCTGCTCCACTTGCACTGGAGTCTGAGCGAGGATGTCCAAGCAACCAATCAGGACTCATGAAGGCGATGAGCTCAGCAAAGGCCACTATGATGCTGAGCAGTGTCCAGAGCATGGAGCGGCATGTTACAATGACATGGCACATGGCGGTTTGTCTTTTTGGGATGTGAATAATACAAGTAAAAAAAATTTAGAAGCCTGTTTAAGCTTCTCAAGGGCCAGAGCTCAGATATTAGAGCGTTTATAGAGAGTTTAAATTCCTTTCCTTACAAAGAAAAAAGTCCACTAGGTTCCTGGTTTGGATCCAGATGTGCCGCTGATCTTATCCTCGCTGAGCAGATGTCAACCTTTCTTCTCCTTGTTTTTCAAGCTCTGGTCATCCCGAACAGGCTGCTACAATGCACCAAAGCAGCTTCCCTCTGCCATGATGCTGTCTATGAAGTAAACCTATTGAAACAGAGACACAAGAGAGTCAAACACAAAACCTGTGTGAAGTCAGCAGCAACTAACGTGTACGAGAAGAAGGAAGGGGGACAGGGTAGAGGACTGATTTCCCATCCAGGGTGAATCATGAAGTTTTAAGCCTCCCACAGGGCGCTACTTCATCTTCACTATCAGCCAGCTGTGTGTGTGTAAACTTTGAGCAACACTTCCAGATGTCTGTTGGAACAGTCAGGATGAGTCACACACTTGTCTACAAGAAAAAACAGAGCTGACTGCAACTGTCATCATTAGGTTTGTGATTTGCTGTGTTTGTGTTTGATTGTATCTATAAAATGGTTGGAGCCATGTGTCTCACCTCTGAGCAGCTGTCAGCACAGATCGCTGCAGAGCTTTGCAGCAGCATGCCACATTTGACAGTAACACGCACTACGACGTGCCAGACCCTCACAGCTGTGGCAAGCACACACATGACATCCACTGGAGCTCTCGCTCACTCTTCAGATCACAGTCCAAGTAAATGTATTTAACGCATTAGTGAACGGTTATTGGCTTTAATGTAGCTTTTTATTATATCTGATGCCACATTAGAGGATATCAGTGTTCTTAATAACAGATGACATTTTTCAAAGCAATCTGCTAAATCTCTGGTGACTGTATGTGAATGTCAGTGGATGTGAGTCACTCTTTAAGTGTCTGAGTCAGTTACTGTGTGAAGGTCCCAATCAGAGCCATTGTGAGACTGTTGCTATGTTATGGTTTAGTTGCTGTGACCACTCTGACCTCAGCACAGCGGTGGTCCCGTGGGAGCTCTGAGGTTTCTTAGAGGGCGACTGATGTCATGATCTAGTGTTATGATACATCCAGGAAAATATTCAGAGTGTCGTCTGGATACCAGGTTTGGCAATCTTGGTCTTTGCATTCCTCCAAAAATACAGTGAGTTATTTTTAAAGAAATATTTACCATGCCCTAAAAGTTGGAGGGACTCAGATGACCTGGTCTTCAGGGATGGGCGATAAGGGCAAAAACATTTTTACCATGGTAAGTTTTCTAACGATAACCATAAAAGTCCAGATAAAAAATATTAGAATTCCAAACTACATTTTTGACTAATTTTGTCCTGAGAACACTGGTTGGAATAGTAAAATAAGGTACTTAATCACAATTTTAAGTAGTAGGTTATGGAGAAAACTTGTGAAATGTGAAAACACTTTCATCATTTATTGAAAACTCTAATTGCACAGAGTGAACAGCAGCAGATCTACTGTCCAATGTCAGGCATACCTGGTTGTGCTCATCTAAGCCCTAATCTTGAAGGAAATCCCTCATGTGGAGCCTCGTTTAGCAACGTGAATTCTAATTTATTGCCCATTCCTACTGGTTATCACGTCTGAGTTGCACACACTTGGAGCTTTTTGTCTTCATGATGGCAATTGAAAGTTGCAGTTAGGAACTTTTGTTTTGTATCTATTTTGGTGCCGCCAAAGGACACTGTATACATCTTATCACTTTTCTGATCCTGTCCTGCACATTAAAAATGTTTTTTTTTTTTTTCCTGATAAACATCGTTCTTTTACCCTATGAATATTTGCAGTTAAAATTATTTACAGGAGAAACTTCTGGTTCTTTACAATATTTTAAAAAAAGGTACATTAGCATCAATACTGCGTCCCGCTAAAAGGATTTTGTAAACATTTGTACATAGAGTATTGGCAAAAATCCATTTTCATGCAATCTCACTTTTGTTCAAAGTTAAATAGAGTACATTTGAGAATAAGTAAACGCAACAGATATCCAACAACAGCAGGAATTGAAACTGAACTAATATTTTTATTGTGTCACAGACAAAGTGGCAGGCTCTAGTCTTCTTGAGAAATGAATTGAAGGAGGAAGTGCTAAAAAATACAGTTCCTTCAATGTCCACTTGTGGCTGGTGCTAAAAGCAGCAGAAACCACATACACACCCATTCAAGAAGTAGTCAATGTGTGATGTTAATCGGACCTGTTTCAGCAGTTGTCTTGCATGCTGTAGCAGACAGAGTCTGGTCCTACTGATCCACAAGGAAAATGACAGAAAATTCAGGGCCAGGAGTTAACGTAGACAGTTGTTATTAGTCTTTGATAACATTATCTTAGGCCTCTTAATCATATCAGGAAGTTGGCAGTGACCTCAGAGACTTTTGCTCTAAATCTGCCTGTACTTTTTTGCATGACTAAATACCACTGGGGAAAAAGCAGAAGTAAACTGAATGAGGTTACTGTTACTAGTCTGGTAAGGTTGTGAGATTAAGTATAAATCAGACTTAAGCTTGGTGTAAGAAATTCCCAACATCTATATATAAAATGGGAAGACAGCTTGTTGATCTTATACAACGAGCCCTTTTATCATGCTACGTCTCTAATTCCTGCTGAATGTGTCATTTAGTTGGTGATGACATGTTAAACCCACAAACATTTATTAAGAGTCATAAGTCACTCTGATGTCCCAAGGGGAATGAATGTGGTATTTGGTCATAACCTTCCCGCCAGCCTCCTTTTGGGATGCTAAATCATCCCACCACATCTGCAGGGAATGTATACTGATATGATCCGAGTCGGTTCAACACAGTGCAGCTGTTTCCCAAGCTACAAAATAAGAGCATTATCTCATGCAGCTAAAAAGGCTGACTGATTCATAAAAAGTACAAGCAGAACTGGGTCACATAACAAAACCATGAGCATGACAACATCAGAGGAGTGGGTATGATGAGGGTGTGATTCAGTTCAGCGGTATTTGGCTTTGTTTGCGCTTCACAGTCTTGTTCTCAGGTAGCTCTGCTGATGCTATGATCCATCTGAATGACTGTGCTTTGTCTTGAGCTTGACAGTGATGCCTATCTGTAACATTCCCAAGTCCATCTGACTCCATTAACTTTGCCTGAGCAGGATTTGAGGGGACCCTTTATTCTCTTTCTACAATTTTCAATCCTAATTACAGATTACAGATCTCTAGGCCAAAACACACTGTCTACATATAATTACACAGCTTGAAGATGAGCTTCGACTGCGCTGACTGAAAATATAGACACGGGATAAAGCAGCGATGTTACCATTCATTGTCAGCCAAAAAGGAAATAGCAGAAATAAACAGGAAACAAACAGGAAGGATTGGTGTCTGTGAAACAGCTTCTGAAGCAGTCATGCACTGTGATGATTAGCCTGCCTATCTGGACTCAATCTAAACCGTCACACATATTTCTGTAAACGTATCAACATGTTTAAGTTTATGATTCTACCCCAAGGAAGAGTTTTGAAGAAGCTGAGGGTAATAAAGTGAAGGTTGCACACTTCAAATCAACAGTTTCATGCTCAAGTACTCACTCAGCCTGACTCAACATTCAGACTGTGTTTTAGCCCTATTTATAGCAATCTGCATTCTGGGTAAGTATACATGTGTAATTGTAGATGAGTTAAGCATTAATCTTTGTATGTCCGTGTTTGCTTGCTTAGTTCGAACCACCCAGGCTACACTCTTGGTTACTCTGTTTTAGTCTTATATTGTCAGCTGATTACAGTCCACCCAGGCTGAGCACACTCCTGTCAGCTAAGACTACAATACCCTCAAATTAGCAGCTCTTCTCTTTAAACCACAGGGATGGAGTCTAAACATACCTTGTCGATGCGGTAAAGAGGCACCTTGTGTGATCTCTGCCAGCTCTTACTGGAAATCTTCTCATTCAAAGCTCATCATGGCTCAGTCTCTTCTCCTTTTGAGGAAGATAAAACCTGAACAAGACTTTTTCTTATAAGAAGAGTGTTTTGAGGAAGTGGGCAGTGGCTCTTTCTGTCGTTCTCTTTCATTCTGACTTTCTATTATGGCAAAAGTGTAAAACCCCCACACAAGGAGCTCTAAAATTAGACTATCATAAGACTGAGTGTGTTTCTGTAAGAAGGCTGTTTTGGCCTATCAAATCACTTTAAAGTCCCACTCTGATTGTTTTAGAATTATTATTATTTAAAGTGTTGTCAGGGGTCTTTTAATTGTGATCATAAATTTTTTTGCGAAAATCAGGTTATCCGTGTCATTTTTAGGGGCTTTTTTTCTCCAGAGCTCCAGCAGTTCATTGGCAATTCGCCTCTGAGTCATGGGCAGAGACAGCGCTGCTCTTCACGCTCCTCTTCACACTAGCTTGCAGCCTAATATTGCCGGTGTAGTAGATCTTTGGGGGCATGATGAAAGTTAATGTCATTATTTGCTTTCTTACGAACATTGCGATCCGCTAACACCCACGCTTGTTCCACGATCATTCTCTCTACTTCTCTGAGTCTGGCCTGCATAGCGGAATTCCGGGGGCGGGGCTTGCAGTTGTGACGTAAGAAATCTCACTGTGTCTGAACCTGCTATTTGGATCTGTGAGAGATTCACAGAGATTTGAATTACTCAGAAATGCAATGTCACACTTATTTTTCTCTTGATATGTCCTGTAGCATCAGAAAAATGCCATATCAACATGTAGACAACAAGAAAAACGTGATTTTCATTGGAGTGGGTCTTTAAAGAGAATATTAATCTCTAAAGATGTTTATGTATTTGTAGGTCCAGAGAGAGATACCAATATTTATTTCTGTCTGTTTAGTTACTGGTTTAAAACTGCTCATGGTAGTTTTAAGGTAGAATTGTGCTTCAACTGTTACTCACTGTAAAGCACTCTTTTTTTCAGGGACTCAAACACCTCCACCACAAAAATCCCAACAGCAAAACCACACATCTACCATAAACCTGTTTATCAACAAGCAAACTTTATAGTCAGAGCAGACCAAATACTGAATATACTGTCTTTGTCTATGAACATGTGAGGGTGGCTGTACGTGCTATGGTGTAGAAAGGTCACTACATCCTGAAACTGATTAATACTTTCCGCCTGTTTGCTGCTTTTTGAACAGACTTCTGGGAAAGTGCTTGAGCAGCACTTCCTCGGTAAGGTCAAGCTTCTCTGTGTGTTTATGTGAGTACTGAAGGAGGAGTATTTTACACTTCACGGCTCAGGAGACACTCAGAGTTATGACTTATTCATAACCCTGCAATCCAGGATGGAGGTTAGAGGTCTCTGCCTCCCAGTTGCTTTTAATAGATATGTATCTTCCTCAAACTGTCAGATCTTTGTTACTGCTGCTCTCTGTGTGCCTGTGGAGTAGACTGTCAAAGATATGCATCATCACCAACACCGCCACATCACGGGGTCTTTGGCTTCTTTCATGAGTCCTGCATGACACCGAGTTTGACTGATGATACATTAGATATGCTGCGAGATGAAAGCAGTTATTCTTCCAGCTGATCTGGACCCACTTATTCCCCCCTGATAGAAACTCAGCCTGCCACACAGGGTTACATGCATGCAGTGAGAACCTGAGGCCAACACATACATTTCTAACCCTTCATTCAGCAAGCCAACATGAACAGTCTCCATGCTGCTATGAGACAAACTTCAGTTAATGGAATTTACAGAAAATACAACCCGCGGGCTGCGAGCCAGCCATGTGGATTGCATGTTTGGCTGTTAAAACCTGTTGGCTAAGCAGCCCCCAAGCTCAATAAAAACTTTGACTAATAAAGCCAAACATCAGATTGAGCTGAGACCTTTCGCTGCTTTAGACAAAGCAGTGAAAATGAGCTATATGTGGGTCAGTCAGTTGGCTGTTAGATAGAGGAGGTGGCCGGGCTGTAAATCTGGAGTAATTGCTCTGAGATATCAGCAAAGGGCTCTGGTAGCATGCCAAGGTGCTGAGGTAATGAGTCCTGACCACTGAAGTCTGTTGTAGAGGGTGAAAGTGAATGAGGACTGAAGGTGGGTGGTTGAGAGATCCAAAACTCAGCTGACCCAGATTGTTCTACAAAGAAGTTAGACACAGACAGCAGAGTTTGCAAGAAACGATTCCATTCATGGATATGGATTGAAATATTGTGAGAGACAATTGAAAGACTTCTGCTCCTTTTCATATATGAACTGCACTTCTGACAACGTCTCAGTGTCACCAGGTGTGCTGAAGCATATATTCAGCTCAGTTCAGACAACTTTTTTAATCCCAAGGGGGGCAACTTGGTTTAGCAGTCATCTCAGACTACACATACATCTACAACAACATTGGACAGGTACATGTCAACAAATAATCAAATTAAATGTGCAGATTAGCTGACCCTTACTGCTAACATAATTTTTTGGAAACTTTTTGAACCACAATACAAGCATGCAAGAGCCGGCTAGCGGAAGCCATGCTGATTTCATTTACATAGACACATGCTGGTGTGACATCACCCAAAAAGTAAAATTTAAAAAAGTATTTATGAAGATAAAGAATTGGTCATGGGTATCTTTTTCGGCTTTTAACCATGAAAACACTAACAACTGCATATCATGCTGCAACATACTGTGCCTGACTGCTTGGTGGAAATGCAGTTTAAAAAAAGGAATCCCCCTCATCCTCGCTCACCAAACAGATGATTTTTAGTCACAGTAAGTCCAACAAGGACAATCCCCCACTGGGTGGTACATGTGTAATGAAAAAGTCTGGGAAATGTGAGGATCTCAAGAATAAAAACCATCTGTACAAGGTCCGAATGTCATATGTAAAGGTATTTACGATAAGTAAAACTCTCCTCCAATTTATGAGGGGACTTGAACAGGTGGATCATCCATCTGAATCAGATGACTTCCCCTGTTGATTTGGGTTGGGAGGACTTTTTCCACTTACATATCCATAATCAGAAACCTCAAACCAAGGCAATCTGTTCCTCAAGCTGCAGAGCCAACTCTGCTCAGCTCTGGCCATGCATCTGGACCAGCTAGTTGGAAGGCCCTGAAACCAAAAACCACAAAGAGGCACCATCTTTAAGGCCATACACACAGCTACCCAAACAAGATGTGGACAATCATAGGCTACTGATGACACTCTAACTTCCCTCTGAGTGTTTCCAAGAATCAGGAAAATAAGAAACCCCTAGAGATATGAAACTTGTATGATAACCGTCGGGGTTGGGCAGGACCAAACATATCCCTCATTCATAAAAGAATGCAAGCATTGGAGCTCTTGGGGAGTGAGGGAGAATGAAGCAATGTAGTTTGAGTGATGAACATGATGAACACGCCATCAAAACACCGTAACATATTACACCCTCAACTCTCAAGATCCCAATCACTTTTGATTTGATTTTAAAGGAGAGGCTTCATTGTCGGTGTTTATTCAAGACTCTGTTGACGCAGGCACAGTGATGTCAGAACAGAGGGCAAGCCGTAACATCAACCGAGTAAAGAGACACCAATTACCCCGCAGCAATAACTCGTAAATCTTCAGCACAGCTCATTTTTATTCACTGAGCAACAGCTAAGATCTACACCCCGCTCTTTTTGCCCCCAAGCAGAATGAAAAGGCAGATTTGAGAACATGTGAAACCCAAACCATGTTTACCCTCTGAGGTGATGCGAGAACAAAGCCTTCGAGACAAAAAAGGTATGAGAAAACTTGAACAAAGCACTAATGACTTGTACAAAATGCCACTTTTTGTATGTCACACTGAAACAGCTAGCCTCAGGGAGGCCAATTTCAAATTTCCACCTGCTTTCACAGCATGCTTCATGCCTTTGACAGAAGAGAGGGTAAAAGTGTGAGTCATGCAAACACACTCAGAGAACAAGCACAAAGACGAGTTTAGTTTCTTTGGTTTACATGAAGGTTTCTCAACCGTCACAGATGTTACCAAACAAACCAAGCCTCTGTCTTCAATAACTGTCTTCCCAACCATTACCACGTGAGACACTGCTTGTGTAGCCCCCCATAAACAGTGAATGAAAGAGTTACAAACTGAGAGAAAGTTTCCCATGGATCGGCACTTACCACAACTCGCGTCTTGTAACTCAAGCCAATGAAGATGGTCGTCTTCAGAAGCAAGTTTAGTGCCCCAAAGTAATTTCAGATTTATTTTACAGACCCAAATTAGGCACATAAAAATAACTCAAGCAGTAAAAAGCAATTATAATGAATTCCCTGACTGCAAAGTGAAGAAATGTCTGCAAGGTCTAGCTTTCAAATACAACGTGGGGGGCTGAGGTTTCAAAGACAATAGGAGGCCTCAAAAATGTAAACAGAAAGTCAAGATCCAGTAGCCCTCCAACAGTGAAGTAGAAACAACACTTTGCTGATGCACAAAGAAAAAATAATTAAAAAACACCCAAAAGCCATGAAAGGTGCCAGCCTGTGCTCAGTCGTCTATGAAATAACTGCATCAAAACGCATGACTTCCCCAGAGAAAAGTATCAGCCAAGCTCATTTGTGTGCATGTGTTTGTGTGTGCGCCAAGAAAAAGGCCTGAATAAGTACCGGCCCTCTTCATCTGGTGTGACTCAACTCAACAAAGGCTGCACAAAGACCTGCCGACAGTGGCCCCCTTCACTCACTCTTTAGCTCTCAAAGACATGCCACCGTTAGCCCAGAATTCACTCACCCTCATTCTCCAAGACAGGCCGCTGTGGCCCCTAACCTATTCAGTCTGTGCAGCACCCCCGGCCCCTCACTCCCCATGCTGACTCTAAGGTGGCCCCACAGCTTCTGACGCACAAAGCCCCTCAGTGACCCTCACATTTCACTTGCACAAAGACAGGAATGACACGGCCTCGCTCTGCTCCCTCCTCACTCCTTGGGCTGTCTCATTTGTTTCTGCAAAGATGATGGATGCACAAACAAACCTCTCCTGCTCTTTTCCTTCTAAACAAATCCACACTCCCTCCTTTACAGTGATTTTAGAGGGACCACACAGATTTTTATTCTACTTTGGATACTGCATTAGTTCTGAGACTACTTGGGCCTTTTTAACTATACAGCCACCATCCATCCACAATCTTTACTTCTTGCATTCAGGGTCGTAGAGGGTAAGGGGCCTATTCTAGCTGCCTGTCATTTAGCAAGAGGCCAACTACTGTTTTGTTAATTGCTTTAAAGTTCAATTTTTTTCAGTTTTTTTTGCAGGCATTTTTTGTTTTTTATTGGTAGGACAGCTGGAGAAACACAAGAAATGTGGGGAGGAGAAAGTGAGTGATGACAAGCAGCAAAGGGTTGTGGACAGGCGTCAACCCAGCAGCCACTTTAAGGAGGATCGTCCCCCCCACCTCATTACATGAAGTGTGTGCTTTAACTGCTAGGTCAGCGAGCACCTCATTATTTAGAAAATCTTGTAAATGCTCCTCTTTTCTAAGATGACAGTCAGTTTCTATCTGCACTGCATAATATAAAATCACAAGTTGAGTACATTTAACTGCAAATAAATAAATGAATACAGGGAAATAGAGGATTTCTTTCTTTTAAGTGGCATTTTGTTGATTTTAACATCATAAGATTAATTGATAGGGTGTTTGTTTGGCCTGGCAGTCAAGCTAAGCACACTCATCACAAAATCACTCTTTGCTATCACCTCCACATAGCTCTGATGCAACAAGTTTGCGCTTGCTATTTGGAGGTTGTCTAAACTAGGCAGAGGAGACAGGTTAGGGCAATCGTACCAAAACTTATCCAAGCACAACCCGTTTATGAAATCAGTGCTAAAATCTGCTGAACATTAAAAAACTGCTGGTTTGTAACTCTGAAAGTTTATATGGTGGTGATTCCCTCCTCTCAGCACCAGTCTACGGTTTGTCCTTGACCTCTGTGAGAATAAACACTGAGCGTTTTCCTGGTTTTGTTTAGTTTATGATGTAGTACCACTTCCCCCTCTCTGAGCAGTGTGTGTCAGGCACAGAGCTCCATGGGTGGCTCTCACATACAGATGGACCTCCTCCTTCATCTCCTTCTCCTCACTGCACTTCAAGGACACGAGGAAAGGAGGAGGGCATGGTTGCAGTGTGGACATGTGTTAACGACAGATTAAGAAATAAAAACAATACAAAGAGGAGTATAATAACAAGTTAGGCTTCTTATGAAGGTGTGGATGTTCAATTGCTACCAGATGTTGTCATTCTTATACAGTATGTGGTCGTCTCTGAACAGCGTACATACCTAATTTCTGCCTTGATATGAAGCCATCTGTTTTTGGTGCTCCTTTTCATATGCTTTAAATTGAATTAATATGAGTAGCTGTTCAATCTTAATTTTTACCTTGTCAAGCTAAATATTTAGCACTGTCAACAAACAGGAATGAAAAACAGGAGGTACTTGTATTTGTAAAATTACCTGCTAATAAAATAACTTTTAATTTCTCTTGAATCCTACCTGAACAACACAGATGGGGAGTGCAACCATAGGTAACCTACATACCTCAGTTACACCTGGAAAAAAATGCTATTCGTTTTCAAAGCTCACATCCATTCAAGAAATTTTAAATTATACAAAAAGAGACTTTTAAGGTCACTGCCTCGTTGGGTGAAGACTGAAAACTTCAACTACTTACTGCCAGCTGCAACAAAAACTGCTATTTAAACAAAAGAAGGGGTGAGATGTTTCTAAAAGAGGAAAGTAAAAGCTAGATTAATCTATACTATCTATACAGCACTAGCGAAAGACTTCTTGCAAGTCAATACAAGTTTCAGGAACAGGGCTCACAAGAAGACCAGCAACAGACACGTTTAAAATCAAAACTACAACCTGACTAAAGTCTCCTTTCGCCATCGTCTTGTACTTACGTGAAGTCAAAGTGTTGGTGTCTCGGCGTCAAGGAGCTGTCCTCTATCTCTGAAACGACGCTCCTTCTCCCGTTGCAGTCAAGTTTTGCTTTCTAAAATCTCATTCAGTCACTCTCCTTTCTTCAGGACCTTCTCCTTCCACTCTCCCTCACTCTTAAAGCCATCCCACCTTCATCTGACGTTGTGCTTTCTCCGCTTTTCTCTCCTCCCTCCCCGTTTTTCCCTTCCCCCATACCGTTTGTCAAAGAGAGAGAAGCAGCTCAGGAGAAAAAAAGTTGAAGGTTTTGAAGCTTAGTCTGATAGCTAACTTAAGGGAAGCCTCAGTTACATAGATATCTAAAGCTGCAAATCTGGTAATATAAACACAGGGTGACACATATTGTACAGCTAAAAAATTTATAACTTTCCATCTAAACTTAAACCAGGTGTTGGGAAATAATAGCAAATCTTTGACATTCAGGTACAGATTAGCTCTACTGTAACAAAGTGTAGGATTCAGCAGTATTTAGCAGCCTGCCCTCTTAAACACATTTAGCAAACTATAAGCAGAAGACATGTCAGTATTTCTTTGTTTGATTTTTGTAACTGTTATCATTATGGAGTCTCCCCTGTTCCCAGTGGGCAATAAATATGAGCTTTGAAGCTAGCACTGAAGCTAACCCGTGGCTAAGCTAACATGCTGTCTTTTTGTTCACAATAGTTTTCTTTGATAATATTTGTCTATACAGCATAAGGGAAATTTGGTTCCCCATGATATTCATAGCATTATTGTTGGTTTTCTGTGAGAATTGTATCCCAGCTTTGCATTTTGTAGATCAGTTAGCTTAGCGTAACACTACTTGGCCCTATATGTTTTGTTTTGTTTTGTTTTATGTTTTGAGGAGTTTTTGGGGCTTTTATTTACCAGGTAGCTGAACAGAGGTAGGAACATAGACTATATATCCAGTTTGCGGATTTGAAGCCAAAAAGTTCTCGGTACTTATGCATTTTTTTCTCCACTTCCTGAAACCAACATTGCGCAGTAGCATTGTACGCACTCCACCACTTGCGCAGTAGCATTGTGCGCATTCGGTGGGCGAGTAGCCAAGAGTTGCTGTAATGACGCTCGGCAAGAACAGCGTATCCCCCAGGTCAGCTACGCAATCTTCGTACGCCTATAGGCTGTATCAGGTGTCAATCATAGAAAACATGAACCCCCTAAAAAATTTTAAAAACGGAGCTGCACAGAAGAAAGAGGACTTAAGCACAAACAAGCCTTACAATAACTACATGTCAACATCGCAAGCAGGGGGAAGAAAAAAATATATTCTGTGTAATAAATTTCTAAAGTTTGTCCACAGCTCCATAGGGATTGCTGGAGGAGGCAGGATTTATGACCTATACTGCTGCCCGTCACCAGAGGGTGCTGTTCTCGGAGTGGCTTCACCCTGCGAGGAGGCAGACAGCGTCCATTCTATATACAGTCTATAGGTAGGAACAAAAGAGAGCCAAGTGCAGAAAATGACATGCAACAAAGGGTCATGCTTGGGGGACAAGGACAATTGCCTCTGTACATGGGAGGGGGCTTCAAAAAGTCCTACTGCAACTCTGGTCCTGCAGTATTCTCAAAGGAGTCTGTAAAACACAACTTCAGAGTGAATAGATTGAGTTGTATGCAGATTCAACAAAACTTGAGAACTAATGGAAATGATGTGAAAAAGCATCCTGGGAAGATTAGATTTTACTGGAGATTGTTCAGGGAAGGCTTTGTCTGGACCGCTCTTATTTGTGGTTATACAGCCAAAAAGCTGTTTATCTTATTGAAAGCTTAAGAAAAGACTTCAGATCACAAGCTTTTTTCCCCATGGCTGTTTACTTTCTTTCCTCTTGTCTTTCTTAGAGAGGCTGAGCTGGAGTCTCAGCCCTCACTTATTACACTGTGGTTTGTGGAACTGTGACAACTCAGGGCAGACTGTCACACTGGGACCTTATATAAATTTTATAAAGGGCCAAAACACTGCAGGGAGGAACAGCAAATGACACCAGGCCCTAACTGTGTGTTTTTAAGGACCTAGTGATTTATAAACCATGAAAAATGGTGACATTGGAATATTTTGTTTAAGTGCAGGGGCGGAGATAGGATTTTTTTGACCAGGGGTGGCCAAACCAGGGTGCAGACTTTTGTGCACATAAATGAATAGCATTTATTTACCCATTTTGATCCAAAGTACATATATCTATTTTGACTACCTACTTAAAAGTATCCCAAAGATGTAATTTCCTGTCTACATTATGCAAGTGTCAAAAGTAAAACAGGGTGGCAATATTTCAGTCCTTTTAGATCTTACTCTTGTGTGCTGAACCTCCAATACATAAGAAACAATGTGGAAAAGGTCCTGGCTACTTTTTTAGATCATTTGGATGGTGCACGGAAGCTTGCTCTCTCGGTTTTTATGTCTTCTGTGGAGTTAACTTAACAAATACACTCTGATATATAGACTATTATAGGATGTATTCAATCATTTTTAGGTTTAGGCTTGGCATAGGGCTGAAGAATCATAATAAGAATAAATTTACCTTGCAAATATTTGACATTATGTATTTATAATCAGTTAATCTAAATCCCAAATCCAATAAGCCCACCTCAGTCAATGAAGAAGTTGTAATGTTGAGGAAACAAACTATACCAAGTCAGATCAGTGCCAGACAAACATATTCCATTCCTGCCTAAATGTTGTGCTTTTTCACCAAAAATGACTTCAATATCATTTCTTCACTCAACTCTCTCCTTTTTTCCACATGGATTTGTTTGTCAGAAAATGTGCAAGACTAAAACACCAGCAAAGTTTTACTTAAGCTCCAAAATTGTTGCAGTGAATTAGACTTTGATGGTGCTTCTCCAGTGTCAGATTTGTTAAGATTATCAAAAATGGTGCATAGATTTCATGATACACCAGGAGAGATGGTTTACTTAACCGCTAATCCAAATAATTCTGTAAATGTTAGACATGCCTTTCCGTGACTTTTTGTTTAGCGGTGTTTGTGACCGTACAACCTAAACATTTTGAGTTCCACCACATCGGTATTTACAGCTGCATTCTTGCTGTTTCTGTTATTATCCATACAAACCTAACTTTAAAACAAGCTCTAAATTTTCTTCTCAGCCTGTCAACAGCAGCTCTCATTTCCTCTCTAGGATGCTGCAGTGGGACTTTGCAAAGTGCGGGCCTTCACGCTGCTCTCTTGACATTCTTCACAGCCTCAGAGCTCGCACTCCACAGTTCATCTCCCCGCTCACACGACCCCTCGCTTTTCCACCATGCAATTTGCTGGTGCCCTGCCTCCAGGACTTCCTCTTTCCACGCCAGACCAGCCTGTGTGTCATCTTGGTGAGAACGCCGTGGGAGGCAGCAATGTCAGTAAATACATAAGTGTGGTTGAGACAACGCTCCAGTCCCAGAGGCAGGAGGATGTTCTTTTAAATGGGAGGCATCTCCATGGGAAACTTTAGGGTGGACTCAGGAGACGCTGAGTTGATGATGATGACTGGTTTTAATGGTTAGTGGCTGTGGGGAGGAAGTTGGATTTTGTGGAGAAATGGTGCTAAGACGATCTATATGGTCACATGAGCTTAGATGTTTAGAAACCATGGGTTGCTAACAGTTAACTGCTGTTGAATATGTTGCTGTTATAACTATCAACAGACCAACCATTTCAGAATTTTGAAACCAACTTATAAAAAGGTTTGTGTCTGAAAAGAGAGCATGTGTATTTTTGTTGAAGTGGGATTAATATTTTTTGGATCAGAATTACGGTGGCTGAACATTGAAAGCTTTTAGTAGTATCAAGCATTCACATTGTACTTAAAACATAACATTTTTGCTTATTATATAGCATAAAGTTAGTGGTGTCCTACTCTGAGAAAAGACCCAAAGAAGATCTGAGGAGATGTCAGAATGAAAAAAATAAAGCTCCACCATGTGGATGTGGAAAAGATTGCTATGAGCTGGATTTTGGGTGCTTTCTGTTCCTTTTTACCTTTAGAGTAGTTACTTAGCTGAAATTTCTATTTACATTGTAATCACAATGAACATCCCTAGTTCTTTCAGGTCCATCACTTAAAAGCCCTAAAAAGTGTCATAAGACGCACCAAAGCTTATGTGAGGAGTTTATGTTTATAAAATAGACTGAATTAATTTTAATGTCTTTTCATGATATCCAAAAGAAAAAAACACCATCAATGGCAAGGTAAAAGAAAATTATGTCCTGATTTGTAATACCTGAAACCAGTGTCGGGGGTAGGTGTCATACTCGCAGCTTAAGAAACAGCCCTAAGTTTCAGATATTCATAATAAATGAAACATTTGACTATCAGAAGAGATATCTTGTCAAAAATTACTACTCAAACAGATAAACAACAAAATAGACAAGGACCATTGTTTCTAAAAATGACAGAATCCAAAAGTTCCTCATAGAAGCTTTAACTGATCTTAGTTACTTTTAAATGCTTTTTCATGTCCAACATAGTAAAATGAGATTATCAGTAACATGACTGGTTATTTCTTCATACTATGTGTTGGTGCCTGTAGCTTTGCAGGTGAGAAGTTACAAAACCAGAGAAGCTTTTTCCCCCTAAATATTTTTGGTTTTACATGTCGTTTTGTAACTATGGCTGATACTGAAGTAGGGTTAACCAAAAGACTTACCCAATCTGTCTAAGTATTGTTTTAGATGGAGAAACAAAAAAGAGGAAACTTTGTCTAGACTTAACTGGTGTTTTGAGACATAAGAGTTTAACCGTGTATGTAAATGTGTTGTTTGGATGTTTATTTGGGCATTGGAGCTCACATCATGTTTGAACCAGTTCGTCTGCTCACCTCTTGTGAGTACCACTCATAAATCAGTTTACAAGATGTTGCTGATGATGAATGTATGTCATTTTGCATTTTCTTATTCATATTATGAGCAGATTATTTCCCCCCTTTTTTCCACTCAACTGACTTTTGTTTCCATCAAGCTTATGTTGTTTTCACATTCTTCTACAGCCAATCCTCGAAAACGGAAACCAGTTAATTAAGGGTTAAAATGTTTGATCCAGTAGAGTAGATATAAACACACAGTTGGCAGCTGTGTGGTCAGAGAGAAAGGAGAACACATCATTTCCATTTTTGTTTTTTTGGGGGGGTATTTCCCAACAG